CAGGTTTAAATGCCTCGCTCTGGTTTTAAGACAAACTGTCACAAGTTAGCCTGCAGTTTCTTGTTTGTGTATTCTTACCTCCTTGCTGCAGTGCTGTTCCTGATCCCTTTCCCATTTGTGTTTGTCTGTGCTCACCTAAGGGCATCATCTGCTGTTCTCTGGGTTTTATTTCCTTCCCTTCCATCACTTCTTGGTCCGCCTCCTTGTTTGCCTGCCTATATAAGACATGCTCAGTCTAGGTCACTTTTCCTGAGCAACGTCCTAGTTGTCTGAGCTCCTGTGTGTTGCTATCTCCTGTATCCTGCATTGACTAATTGTGTACGTGTATTTCATTCTCTGACTATGCTTGTTTTCCGCCCATCCTGACCTCGGCTAGTCTATCAGATTTCCGTTTGTCTCCTCCCATTGTACTCTGCTCCTGTGAGCGGTCTCCTCATCCTCAGCTGGGTGTACCCGGGGACAGCGACCTGGTCCCAGCTTGCTGCAAGTCCATCCCCACCATCAGGGGCTCTGGTGAAGAAGCAGGCTGGGGCTTAGACTCTGTGCCCTGCGGAACCCAAAATTGCCTATCTACAATGGCTCACTACCACAGGTACTGACACAAACATGAAGAGATAAAAGATAATGATGAAAATAAGAGGAAAAAAAATTAAAGAAAATAGAAAAAAAAGGATGGTAGAGAAAAAAAATCACAATGAAAAGCACATTGCTTGATAACTATTGAAAGAGTACATTATTCTTAAATTTCTCATAATTTATTTTATAGAGGCCTCAATGCAAAATAAGACATTTGCTTGTCAATATAGGGCGGCCTGTTCTCTGCCACTAGCAAAACAGTTTCACATAAATTGTGCAGATTTCTCATCATTCTGCCCTTTACTTGCAAACGAGTATTTCTTGTCACACAGATTCACACATCTTCAACATCTGAAAGAAAAGAAATTCTCAAAGGTTCATTAGCCAAGATAAGACAAGGTACTATTTACATCTTTACAGTTTTAAACTAATTCACCCCCACTACAATAGAGGTCTAATTTGCATTAAAAAACAGATCTGAAGGATTTTCATCTTCTGCTATATCTACATTTATGACACCTTATACTCTCCTCAACTGTTTGTGAAGATTTGCATTTGCTTCAAATAATTTATCACGGTCTGCCTTCATTTTATCATATTCAATTTTCAAATGGTCATATTCCTGTTTCAAACAGGAAAATGGTATCCAGGTCTTGGCCTTTTGGTTATTATTATTTTAATTTGCTTTATTTTGCACATTACGATCACAAGTCTTTGACCTGGTAAATCCCCCTTGGCTGTTTGGATTATTTGTCCTAAACAATGTGGCTACATCAACTTTTAAAGCCTGCATATTTGATTTTTTCTCCATAAATGATCTGCTCTTAATTTAATTTAACTTAATGTAATTTAAATCATGAGGATCTGGGGTAACCAATAAAATATTTTCCTGGATATCCTCACGCAAAGCATCTAAAACCATACTCTTATGTACCAAGCCTCCAAGCTCAAATGCAGCACTTTGACCAACCAACATTTCCATGATAGTAGCTGTCCTATGTGACAATTCAAGGGAAAATTCATTCAGCAATTGTTTGATCCTCCCATGAATAGTAACATCAGAATGTATGCCATACAATACACACAACCTTAACATGTAAACAAAGTACTTTTTGAAATGTCTAATTAGATAAACAGACTATTCTCCAAATAGCAAGATGACCTTGCATAAAATTAACATAGCAAAGAGTTCTTTTGATATGTGGTCAAGTGGTCTTATCACTGGCATGCCCAAGAATGAACAGTATGTGTTTCAATATCTTCAATATATATATTGGGATTATCTGTATCTCATCACCTACCAGTCACTGCCTTGAGAATACTCAGCAGTCCTGGGGAAGGGGTGGGTACATAGAGTCCTGTCTGCTCCGTCAGCTGACCAACCTCTGGTGAGCTTGTCATCAGTGGGTTGGACTTAGCTTTTACAAAACAGGGCGGCAATAATATGAACTACCCCATTTGCTCTTCTCAACTTTAGTCCTCTTGAGAAAGAAAAGTGTTCTTGGGAAGTTCTTCCTAATGGGAGCAGGAGACTGTGGGAGTTACTTATTAAAACTTCATGGTACAAAATCTGGTGCAGCTCTGCAGAGAAACCAATCAGCTCATTCTATCTTATAAATATCCTTTTGTAAGTGAGGTCTCCAGAACTGGACACAGTATTCTAAATGAGGTCTCACTAAAGATCTATATAGGGAAATCAAAACCTCCTTCCTCCTGCTGGTGATCCCCCTAGTGATGCATCTTAGAATTATTTTTTTAATTCCCCACTGAAATAAGTAGCCCCAAATATTTTTCTTTATAGTGCTAGCCAATACTGTACCCCCAATGTTGTACTTTCCCAAAGGATTATTTTTCTGAGTGCTTCAATTTACATTTAGAAACTTTGAACAGCAGTTTCCACTTCTTTGACCAATCTTCTAGCAATGTGAAATCATGTTCCATGGTACAGAACCTCCAGGGATATCAACCCTATTACACACTTTTGTATCATCAGCAAAAAGATATACCTTACCGAACAAATCTTTAATTGTATCACTTATATTTGTCCATCTGTCCTACAAAGTTTTACACATTAAGTAAACCATTGAAAATCATATCTATGTCTATCATACCATATCTATCATATCTAAGAGTGACCACACTTTCCTTTATTCGAGTAAGTGTGGTTTATCCCAGAGACTAGAAATGTTCTAAAGGGAGTCACATTTGAAGCATGCATGACCCTTGTAGGCACTACAACGCCTCGAAGACATTAACTATAAAATTCCCCCTTTCTGGAATCTCAGCATCTTTCCTGTTACCCAGGTGCTATAGTGTTGGTTGTAATTAATGGCTGCAATATGAGGGTCATCTCATATTAACTGAAGCATCACAAAGAGAACAGGGATTCCAATACTATAACTCTGTATTTACAATTGCATATACTGGTGGTTCATGGGAGTGATTCTTTTGAGTGAAATTAGATAGTGATATGGTTTGCATATTTAAAAAAAATAAGATTTGGGTAATCCAAACTTTTACAGTTGTAACCAGAAAAAGAGTTAGAAGTAAATCTTCCAAAGAGGACACCTTTAACAGATTTCTAAGATGGGGATTTCCTTTTATTTGTAGTATTTCCATTCACTTCTTGTTGTATCTGTTGTACAAGAAGTGAAGGAAAATCTTCCCAATGGGAAACCAATGATAAAAAAAAATAAATGCACAGAGGTTTTAACCCTTCTTTACTTTATCCAAAACTACAAAAAAAAATATTTTGGCTATGCATACAGTTTATCAAAGCTCCTTATTTTGGAAAGCTAAGAATCAAGGTAGAATATATTATGAGGGTGTATTAGAAAATATTCTGCTTAGTGTTTGTCTCTTGAAGCAATGCATAAATACAGCATATGAGGATAAATATTTGTCTTCACAAACACTGATAATGGAGCATAAAAAAGTTTTCTTTGCTGGGGGTATAAGGCACAAAATGCAGTTAATGCAGTAGAATGTTAATCTCCTTGTGTACTATTTTACAAGTCATTAACCACTTCTAACAAAGAAAAGGCAGAAACAAATCAATCAGTGGATTATAAGAACATCCTATTTACACCTTTTGAATGTGATATTTCCAGATCTAATAGGTGACACTACAAGATTAGAAGCTGCTGCCTTTTCTGTCTAACACCTCTTAGGCCTGTCCAAACACTTACTTATACAAAGCCTGAATAAACAAACCAAATTTGACATCTTTTCCAAATGACTGATCATGATTGATTGCTGTTGATCAATGATGTGGGAAAAAGTTGCTGCCATTTAATCCTCTAACCTAAGGGGTCATTTAAAAATACAGAACATAGGAATTACCTGAGGCACATCATACTGTTCCTTTGTGTATAGAAATTTCATTTCACTGATTGCAGTTGACTAAACGTGACCTAGCTATTTAATTTTAAAGCTTGGGTTTGGAACAAGGCAGAAGACTTGATGACTTAATGCTGAGCTGGATTATCTTGCCTGCTTGAAATATTATGGCTATAACAATGCATTCTTCTGAATGTAAGCAGCTTGGTGGTGACTGTGCTGTCAAATGTGTAATAATGGCTTTTCTTCTCATTTAATGAATGGACTGATATGTGAGTGTCCAATGTTTGGTTTAAATCACAGCTGTGTGAAAGCATTTCTTAAAATTTTAATCTACTTATTTCATTAACCTTGCTATTCAATTGCTTATGTTATTGTGCTTTCCTACTGTACAAGTGTTGACTCTGCAAAGATCACTGGAAATACCAGTTTTTTTTTGCATTGCTTTATTTATGCATGGGCCTTGTGTATTTTCTGTGGAACTGTCCAATGGCATAAATTTTAACTACTGGCAAGAGGCACATGCATAACGTCCTCTGCGATGCATCTTATAACAGCACCAAATGTCAATAACACAATGTATAAAGAAAATATGCTTCACCATATAAATGTTTTATTACTTATTACTGAAGTAAACATTAGGAATTCATTTTAGCACATAAAAGTTGACATGGTTCCCACAAACAATGAAAACTGTTTCTTAATTACATTTAATTTATTTTCTCAGTGTAGAACAGTAAACCTTATGGTTCTTGCCTGTATATATGTGCAGCGCTACCCTCGAAGGAGCTTTTGTAATCTAACTGGTTCTTTCCCAAGATTAGTGCAGAGGCAGCCAGGCACACAGCAACTTTTACCCCTGTCCTGCCCAGGCCAATTTTCAGCTTTCAGCGCTGTCGCACTTTGAATGACAATTGCATGGTCAAGCAACACTGTACCCATATGACATTTTTATTATTTTTTTTGGGACAGATAGAGCTTTCTTTTGGTGGTATTTAATCACCACTGGGTTTTTTATTTTTTTGATAAACAAACCAAAAACAACTAAACATTTTTAAAAGAAAAAGTTTTTTTCTTAGTTTCTGTTATAAAATTTAGTAAATTAGTAATTTTTCTCCTTCACTGATGTGCGCTAATGAGGCTGCAGTGATGGACACTGATAGGCAGCACTGATGGGCACTGAATAGGAGGCACTGGTAGGTGGCACTGATGGGCATTGACAGGCATCACTGGTGGGCATTCACAGACATCACTGATGGGCACTGAAAGGCAGTACTCAAACATGGCACTGATAGGTGGCACTGACTGGTACTGATAGGTGGTACTGACTGGCACTGTTAGGTGGCACTGACATGCACTGATAGGCGGCACTGACTGGCACTGATAGGTGGCACTGACTGGCATTGATAGGTGTCACTGATTGGCAGCAATAATAGGCAGCACTGACAGGTACTGATAGGTGGCACTGACTGGCATTGATAGTTGGCACTGAAAGGCAGCTCATAAGGGCACTGATGTGTGGCATTGATGTGCACTGGTGGGCACTGATAATGGAATTGATGTGCACTGACAGGCGGCATTGATGGGCAAAGGCATGTGGCATTGATGGACACTGACAGGTGGCACTTATGGGGCTACACTGATCATCAGGGCCCTGATGATCAGTGAAGATGTCCCCTCTGAGGAATGCCGATTACCGGCTCTCCTCGCCTCATGAGCTGTCAGTGCGACAGCTCGTGAGGAGAGAAATGCATTTCCTTATTTACATGCAATCAGCTGTGATTGGACACAGCTGATCACATGACAGAGCCGAAGTCATTGGCTATTTCCGCTGATCGATGATCCACTGTGTCCCAGGGACAGAGCTCACCACCGGGGGGCGTGCACGCACGGTTAGAGTGGGAGGACAACATATGACATATTCCCAGAACGAGAGAACCACCTTGCACCCATCATTTCCTTATATGGCGGGTGGGAGGCGGTTTAAGAAGACCTGCAGTGTACCCACCCCCATTTTTTTTCTTTGCCTCTGCTTACCTGGTGGTGTTGTAGGCACAGTTTGGATACTCACCCAGCCACCAAATCCAGCCTTCTCCCACTGACATCCTTCTGTCAACAGACACCGCTGGGTCCCATGCCGCCATCTTACTTGTGATGTTATCAAAAGGCCTGCTGGCTCTTCCAGGTTCAGCCAGCAGGGCCTCATGATGGGCTATGCCCACCCCTTCTACTTACTGAATGAATGACTAAAGGCTTCCTGGGATATGTGATATGCAAACCCCAGGAGGCCCAGCAAGCACTCTGCATGTCATTTCTTTAGAGGAACGATGTGCATTAAGGGGCAGGACCATGCTGTTTTCAAAAAGAAAAGGGAAAAAATAAAAAGGGAAAAAGGGTGGAGAGGTAGAACTTCATATAGAGGGTGAAGGTCCACTTTAATCAGTCTAGGGCGTGGGTGTCGAACTGGCGGCCCTCTAGCTGTTACCAAACTACAAGTCCCATGAGGCATTGCAAGATTGACAGTTACAAGCATGATTCCCAAAGGCATGATGGGACTTGTAGTTTCGCAACAGCTGGAGGGCTGCCAGTTTGATACCCCTGGTCTAGGGGATGTCATTTTATAATTTTATTGCTGAAGAACTTATAGAGGGTATAGGGTAAATATGGGACTCTCCAAAAATACTGAATAATAGCAGGAGGACACTGCACTTTTCTAAGCTTCCCTGAACAGTCTTTACACAGGAGCAAAAAAGATGGCCAGGACTGAGTCCTTGTAAAAGCTATCTCAGTAAAACTACCACTGGCACTTCCCCCCAAGGAAAACAGCACATAGTCACTAGAACCCTGAACTCAGGTCAATACTCACAATGTCACAGTATCACCGGATATCTCCTTCCAGTATCCACAAGACACTCTTCAGTGAGAGAGAGGTTAATGCGCACAATGCCACAGAACAGCCAGACCCTTTCCAACTTCCACCTGTCAGTGGGTTGTAGAATAGGCTCCCTGCTATGCCACAGCTGAGACCTTGATGAACGTGCAGCAAAATTCCAGCAATGAGCACAGAGGAGCAGTGTCAGGAATGGACTTGCCAATAACGGTGGGACTCACCTGCCTTGTGGGCTGCAGTACCAGGGCTGGCCAGCGGGTGCTCTCAGCAATCAGAGACTCACCCCTGCAGTCAGCCAAAACACCTGAAGCTGATTGCAGGGGTTGTATTTAAGGAATGGCCAGACTCACACTCAGGGCCTTGGTGTGTGTTTTTCCATGGGCCCCTGTATCTTGTAACCTGCATTCCTGTTCCTGTTTCTGCCTGACTTGTTGCTGACCCTGCCTGATCCTGACCTCTGCTGACTTCTCCTATTTGATCCCTGGCTTGTGAACCTGACCATTCTCTCCGTCTGCTCCACCTGTACCTACCTGCCCGATAGTTATCGACCTGGCCTGCCTGACTACGTTGTGCTCTATATGTGTATATACCTGTGTATCTATATCAGTTTAGGTTTGGGTTTGTTTCACTTTGTTGTATGTATTTGTGTTAGCTTGGGGTTTGGTGCACTGCGTTTATGTTTGTATTGTTAGTCTCAATAAATTATATTATTTACTATATCTGAAGCCTACGTTTCCCTGTGTCAGTCCACACACTTCTGGTCACACCCGCATCCCTGACAAGCAGACCCCTCAGACTGCAGACTCCTCTGACAGGACTAGCCCCAGGGCTTAGACCCAGGACATAGAGTAAGGCTGCTCCAGGCCTCACACTATTTATGTGCTCTTCAGCCACCTACTGGGCATACCTCCTCAGGGAGTGGCTAAATATTCAGACTGCTTATTTGGCCCTAAAATTCTAGATACCGCTAGAATGCAGAGGAAAGCAATCAGACCTGCGGCTTGTAAAACACAGAACATCCCACAGCAATCAACAACTGCTTCACTGATTATAATGGAGCCAAAAAGAACTAAATTTGCCTAATATCCTAGCAACCTAATTAGGAGGGTGCTACATCTGCCTTCAATTCAGTTGCTTTTTAGCTAGCTATACATTGGGACCTTGAATTCTCTCCTAATAGATACTGAACTTTGCCATAGTACTCTAAAATGCAACTATCAGATGCTAGCACGTCATTGACCAATATGGCATTTGAAAGCTGAATATCAATATATAGATTAGCCTCAGTAAAGTTAGTATTTATTGTTGATCTGAATCCTATATACAGCCATAGCTTAGGATCCAAAGTCCTGACAAATTCAAACCAAAGTGAATTAAAGGCACCACAAAGTAATGTTAATTATTATATTTTAGTGAATCCAATAGGTTCATCTGACATTAGAGGAAGCAGGTACACTCCAACCCCTACACAAAAAATGGCAACCGTCCCAACCTATAACCAGCCTTAGCAGTAAGGTGCAGATGGAAGGGCAATGCACAAAGGATTTCCCAGCAACACTTACCAGCCAGCCTGTGAAACAACCAATTTGGCCCTGTCTAACAGTTTGCGTTAAAAACAGAGGGTATTGTTTGCACACATTTGCAAATACATGTGTAAGCCACAGTCCCACGTTAAGGGTCCTCTGTATACTGTGGACCTAACTAAAATTTCCATAGCCTCCATAGTAGGAACACATATATCAATGGATAGGTTAAAGGCAGGTGTGCCTGGAGGAGCCCATCCCTCCTTAACCTCCCTAGCAGTCTGATTATGTCCATATTTCTGTGCTCAAAGCGGTACATTTTTTTGCATGGAAATATGTTTTTTCTTTACTGTAGGCCTGTAATTTTTAGGAATAACTCACTGAAATCTGTCCGAGCAAGAGTCTAGTAAACATCCCGGGTATGTTACAATTTGAAACACGAAATCATAAATTATAAATTATAATTTATTAAATAATCATAAAAAATAATAATATAATAATATTAAATCTAATTCAATAATATAATCAAACCAAAAACACTAAAATTTTAAATATAACGCCAAGTTCGCACATCACTGACCAAAGTCGCAAAATCGTTTTCAGTGTCTGATGACGAATTTCCCCACGGATCATTATCACTCAATTCTGCAAGTGGTTCTAATTTACTATCGATGTTCTCTAGCTGGTCTAAAACTGCTTTTGACCTAAAGAGACGCTTTTTGGACGTCATGGAAATTTCTCAGTTTCCAGGCAGAAAGAACAGTAAAAATGCAGGCAGAGCACATGACAAAGCACTAGGGACAAAATGTATGTGAATTGGTTTGATACAGTAATGTTTTACTATGTGATTTTAGTGATTTTAGTGAATGTCACTTTTTGTCATTTTCAAATTTCCCGCCGTTCCGTCCCCATACGTCCCAACGCTCGCAGGGGACGGAACCCAGATGACAGATGCCGGCATCTGCCGGAGGACATGGCCGGGGACACTGTAGGAGGGACATCGCGGGAGTGCAGGACAAGGTAAGTGAAGAACAGATTCCGGAGCAACGCTGGAGGGTATTCCCGAGTATAGCTCAGGGTTACTGCTTGTGGTACTGAAACTTTACCCCGAGCTACACTCGGGAATACCTCCAGGGAGGCTACAGGTACAGGGACGCAAGTGACGCCCAGCTATACCAGTAAAGGCATCCAGTGCATTCCTGTGTCCAAATTAGCCAACGCCACAAAAAATGGCAACTGTCCCAACCTATAACCAGCCTTAGCAGTAAGGTGCACATGGAAGGGCAATGCACATCGCGAACAAAGGATTTCCCAGCAACACTTACTAGCCAGCCTGTGAAACAACCAATTTAGCCCTGTCTAGCAGTTTGCATTAAAGACAGAGGGTTTTGTTTGAACACATTTGCAAATACATGCATAAGCCACAGTCTCATGTTAAGAGTCCTCTGTATACTGTGGACCTAACTAAAATGTCCAACGTCTCCATAGTAGGAACACATATATCAATGGATAGGTTAAATTTTAGTTAGATCATTTTGGGAGGAGGTCACAGGGATATAGGAATGTGAGGGAAGCACTTTTAAGGTAAATATAACCGTGTTGGAGTGTGTGCTTCAAGAGACCCTGTCATTTTGTCCTGAATGGGCAAGGTGGCAGAGTCTCTTTCATCACCCTACTTTGTTTTCCTGAGGGTAACACTAAACCTGCAGATTAGAATTATTTAATTATGTATAGGATAGCAGTAGCACTTTATTTGTAGATTATTGGATAGGATAGGGTTTGAAATGCCTACTAAACTACTGTTGTGTTTTTGAAAGTACTAGCATGACATCTGTGGCAGAGAGTTACAATAAACATAACTTATCAGTAAGACTGTTCTCTCTATTATTAACAGTGATATATGCTGGGCTGTGAAGATAATCTTCCTTTACAAGGCTGAATGCTGATAAAGTTGGATCTACACATGTCTCCTTTGAGATACAGCTCTATTGTGTAGATGATGGTAGATATGGCATGTATATGACTTCAAGAGGTTTTACCTATCTTAGCAAAGGTACATTAAAATGTAAGGGCCTTCCTCAAATTCCTTTTCAAAGTACCAGTGTATTACATTCAGGTGGGTGGCCCTCCATTATCTTTTAAGAACTGAATATATCCCATACATTTTGTAACGTGAGTTTAGTTAGTATTTAGCTTTATTCTAAAATTTTCTGTTTGCATTTTTTAGTTTGGTTTTATATATTTAGTTTAATAAAACACACATTTTAAAAAGCAAAAAAACAAATGGAGCAATGTAGCGATAACATTAGAATTTAAAAATAGCAACAGGTTAAAAAAGGAGAATTGAATAGTAATATAAAATAACATCTCCACTTAACAAAGGTGCTGGAGAACGGGTTATACCTGGCTATCTTCTTAAGACTATCTTATGTAGAAATCAGCTTTGTTCCAGCATCTTCTTTTCATAGAGCCATTTTAACATAGGATTCTAGCTCAGATTCTTTAAGTGTCTGGTATGCTGATTTAGAAATGTTTCTGCTTTATTGTCAATAGGAGCTGCTGTGTTCACATTATGCTTTTTAAGAAAGCTGCACAGACACAGCACACTTTTAAGACATCTGCACTGTCAAGGGAAATGTTAAAAAATGTAAATGTGTATGATAAATACTATCTAGTAAAAAGGTGAAAGCACAGTGGATATAAATCTAATTTTCGGGTTGATTATTTCGTAACTTTGTCTTACAGGAAAACATTTGTCAGAAAGCAGAAAGGTGGTTCTGAGCTTTAAAAACTTGACCTCGGGAAGGTTTTACCTCCTTCATGACCAGGTCATTTTTTGCTATTCAGCACTGCACTACTTTAACTGTCATTGCGTGGTCACGCATGGTGGTCATTATTATTATTATACAGTATTTGTAAAGCACCAATAGTTCACTCAGCGCTGTACATTACAAAGAGGGACATAACATGTGACAGAACAATACCAATACAATGCAAAACACGAGGGGATTGAGGGCCCTGCTCTTTCGAGCTTACAATCTAGGAGGTAGGTAAGTGAACCATGTTCTTCTGTGGACAATACCTTGCCAGTGGAGTCGCTGAACGTCATAAAGACCCATTGTGATTTAACATGAAAATCTGAAATATGTGTTTTGGTTGGAATTTTTCTTTAGTGTGAACATGCTGGGCTAATGATCCATTCTGAAACTTTGTATGTACAGATCTTCCAATTTAAATATAAGGCATATGAAATAAATTGTTTGTGTCAACTACTTTATGTTCATGGTAGTATTTGATCACCACTGGGTTTTTTTATTTTTTGCTACATAAACAAAAAATACCGAACATTTGGAAAAAAAAAACCCAATACTTTGTTATAAAACATGTCCAAGAAAGTAAAATTTCTTCATAAATTTAGGCCAAAATGTATTCTGCTGTATGTCTTAGGTAAAAAAATTAATGGCCTTTTCAGCATGACCATTCAACATAAGGCAGTCATTGTACTACCTTCTGTTGAACAATCAGCAGTACACACAAATCAAACGTCTGCTGGTTCAGTACCCATTTAAACATTTTCATACTATCCAAAACTAAAAAAGAAAGTTTTGGCTATAGATATAGCTTAAAGGTTGCTTTAAGAGATGCTTTTAGGTGATGAAGCAAGAAAAATTGTCATAGGTTTACAGATTGTAATTTGAATGGGAAAAAGGTAATGCTATTATTTTAGTAGCTTGGATGAAGGCCTCAGGGCAAATTCTATTCTAGTGGAACATCTGCAACATGGCAATAATCAAAAATAACCTTGTCCACTCCATCACTTTAATTTGGTAAGCAATTCCATAGCTTGTTTAGTAATATACAGGATTTATATAGCGCCAACAGTTTGCTCAGCGCTTTACATTATAATGGGAGACAGTACACGAGACAGCACAGTAACAATACAATACAATACACGAAGGGTTGAGGGCCCTGCTCCTTGGAGCTTACAATCTAAGAGGGAGGGGAGAGTGGTACGGGAGGAAATAGCTGTGGGGGATGGAGTGGTAGGAAGAGTGGAGGAGATCGGCAATTAGGTGAGGGGTGGTAGGCTTCTCTGAAGAGATGGGTTTTCAGGATGCGAATAAAGGTGAGGAGGGTAGATGACAGTCTGATGGATTGGGGTTCCAGAGAACATAGATGGACATAGAATTAAGACATGTGAGAGAAGGTAGTGCAGATCCAAGAAGACACAGGCTGGATCGGATTGAGCTGGAGAGCTGAGGAGATTCCAGATCGCTGATCCTGCAGGCAGACTGATCGGTTCATCACCATCAGCACCACTTTATCTGCAAAACAGAGAGAAATGGGGCCCCCCCAACAGCTAGGTCATCATTTTGTCTTGCTACATGAAAGGGCTGGGTTCCTAACTCATACTATACTACACCACCACATTGTTACAAGCTTATTTATTGTTGCAAGTAACCTAAGCTCAGGATTTCCTACAGTACATACTGACACGTGGAGACACAAACTCCATAGCCCGTTCAGTTCTGCTGTCTATCTCCATTAACTGCTCATTGAGCCTCTGCATGCAGAGAATCAGCATTAATGTTTCTGCTTCCTTGATAGGCAGTAATTCTGTATGCATTCCACTTCATTTCTATTCTACCAAAAGAAAGAACATGTTTCACCAGCCCAGTTCTGCACTTAAAGGGAAACATTTCTACTGAATTCTGATCCCACCCCTTTCCAGCTTATGCAACCCCTATAATCATCTTATGTACTTAAAGTTACTTCCCAGAGTTGTAGCCATTTATTAAAGGGGAACTCTTCCTGCTATTTCACCATCTCTGGTGAGAGGAATCTCCACAAGTTTCGAGGGGCAACCCATGGGGGGACTAACATGTAAAGGGCCAGGGAGAAAGCACACATAAAGTGTGCAGGATGCACATACCATAATATAACACTTACCTAGTGTCACAGACTGCCAGTGCCTCTCCCATCCCCCGCCATATCCCTCCACCCCTCCCTTTCCCTTTGCACAATCCGGTGTCTGGGGAGCTTCCATGGACAATGCTGGGCCGGCCGTTGCCGAGGCAACCTAGCCGCGTTCCACTTGGTTTTCAAAAGTCTTGCACAGGAAGCAGCCCTCTCTCTTTTTGTTCCCGTCCATGCTGCTGGAATCAACTTGCTCCCGGAAAGATGCTGGGAGACTCGGGTGAGGGGGACCGAGCCTCCCCAGCCATCCCTGCTGCGCACTCTGCAGACCCCCAAAAGGTCAGGACTGTAGCCCTCTGCAATACCCCAGGGTTGGGAGTCTCCACAGCTCTGCATGAGCCTTCTCCTCAAAGGTCAGACCCTACAGCTGAGACCCTGCCAGACCCTGCAAGTCTGTAAGCCTGTCTACTGAGCACCCTTGCACCCTTTCTGCTGCTGAGTGCCCTGGGAGCTGCTGCTGAGGGACCCTGCACACTATCTGTGGCTGCGTGTCCCTGGAGGCTGTCTGCTGCTGAGTGCCCTGGGAGCTGCTGCTGTCTGCTGATCGCTGGTTGTCCCTGGAACGCCAACCGCTGGTCATCCCTAACTGGAGCCGCCTGCTGCTGAGGGTCTGCAAGCTGCTTACCGTGAGTGTCCTGAACTGTCCCTGTTGTGCGCACTGACCACCTGTGTTCTGAACTGTCCCCCGCTGTGTGCACCAACCACCCGTGTTCTGAACTGTCCCCGCTGTGTGCACCGACCACCCGTGTCCTGAACTGTCCCTGTTGTGCGCACAGACCACCTGGGTTATGCACTGCCCTACTACACGCCTAGACTACCCTTACTTGAACCGCCTCATAGCATTCCCGGAGTATAGCTACCTGTGGTGCCCCTGAGTGCTTGAGCCATCGCTACCCGTTGAGTCCCCGTGAACCCAATGTCCCTAGAAAGCTGGGTGGGAGCTGTGCTGAGGCCAGACTCCACAGCTAAAGTCCCGTTGAGTCCCCGAGGCCCCCTGCCCAGTGGTAGGTTGTCGCCTGTTGCCCGAGATCCCTGCCCAGGGGTAGATTGCCGCCTGTTGTTGAGGTCCCTGCCCAGGGGTAGATTGCCACCTGTTGCTCGAGGTCCTTGCCCAGGGGTAGATTGCCACCTGTTGCCCGAGGTCCCTGCCCAGTGGTAGGTTGCCGCCTGTTGCCCGAGGTCCCTGCCCAGGGGTAGATTGCCGCCTGTTGCCCACGGTCCCTGCCCAGGGGTAGATTGCCGCCTGTTGCTCGAGGTCCCTGCCCAGTGGTAGGTTGCCGCCTGGTGCCCAAGGTCCCTGCCCAGTGGTAGGTTGCCGCCTGTTGCCCGAGGTCCCTGCCCAGGGGTAGATTGCCGCCTGTTGCCCAAGGTCCCTGCCCAGGGGTAGATTGCCGCCTGTTGCCCGAGGTCCCTGCCCAGTGGTAGGTTGCCGCCTGTTGCCCATGGTCCCTGCCCAGGGGTAGATTGCCACCTGTTGCCCAGTCTCCAATCCGCTGTCCAGTCACGGAGGGAGCTCGGCTGAGGCCCCAAGCCTAGGGGGGAGATTGCCTGCCTGTCGCCGAAGACCCCCCGTGCCTGGAATCGTCCCTGGTTTGCGCACACATCACCCTCCCTGCCATTTCCCCATTGAGTGTCTGTCATTTTGTTGCTTCAATAAAGTTTTGTGTGTTCCCCATCTTCTCCGTGTGCTCTGTCCTGCCTACGCTTCCGTTACACCTAGTATCGACTGTAAATATATCAAAGGGTTGGACTATAGTAAGCAATGCTTAGTTGCATAAAACGAGGGTCATAAGCCCTCCTTGGGATGTTCCTAATGATGATTTGAAAAATTATAATGTGTACTCCTGTAAAACACAGAAAACTACAATCCAAATAATAATTCTCAGTATGTTAAATGTGCAATCGTATTTTGGACAATAAAGCTTGGTACAAAAAGGTTGACTGGTATATTGTGGACAGGAACAAACACAGATTCTCTCGGGTGGTCAAGAAGGGATAATTGCCAAAGAACTAACTGAATTTGTATTAGTAGGACACACAATGACGTCTACTTTTTATGTGGTACCTAAGGTACACAAATCCATTGACAACCCGCCTGGCAGACTGTCTGGGGAATTCACTGTCTCACCGAAAATGGCAGTTCTCTGGTTGATGCACAATTGAGACCCCATGTGGAGACTCTACCTTCATATCTGAAGGATACAATGCATGTCTTAATGATATTGGAGGGTACATGTGTAATGGACAATACCATTATTGCATCCATTGATGTATTCCAACGTTCCACATGAAAAGGGAATAGCAGTTGTTGAATCGTTCCTTAAAGAACGTGGAAATGATCAGCAGCTATATAATGGTTTTATAATGCAGCTTCTTAGATTCATTTTCACACATAACGTGTTTACTTTCGATGGCTCCCACTACCTCCGGGTGCAGTGTGTTGCCAAGTGTGCCCCATTGTATGCCAACTTGTACCTGAGGGGGAGCAATGGCTATTTTCATGTGAGGAGGCATCTGTGTACCTCTGCCATATTGATTTGTAGTGGAGATGCATAGATGACATTCTGATCTTTTGGTCAGGACCCGTTAATCTTTTACAGGAATTTGTTGGATTTTTAAATGTAAACACCTAGAATCTTGGGATAGATCTGAGCTTCCATTTTTGTATTTGTAAATACAGAAACATATAGAAAATAGAATAACTACCAGATTGTAAACCTACGACGGGCAATGCCTTGCTTAATGCACAGAGTGCCCACTCCTGACATGCAGTCAGAGGTATTCCCTGTGGACAATATGCGAGCATTCAAATGAACTGCTCAGACTTACAAACATTTGAAATGCAGGCAAACAAGTTAAAACAAAGATTCCTTAACAGAGGTCACAGTAATAAGTCTTTAAAATGGGCATATCAATGAGCCAAAGCCAGTCCAAGGGACCTCCTCTTGTTTTAAGGCCAAAATGAAGTTACTTCAGGCAAAATTGTTACATTTAATAATCAATCTGATTAAATTAGGAAGATAATGACTAAACAATGGCATATCCTAGAGCGGGTGTCGGCAACCCGTGGCTCCAGAGCCGCATGCGGCTCTTTTTCATCTTTGCTGCGGCTCCGGAGCACACTGCCCACCAGGTGGTCGGCAAGCCGCAGATCGCGAGCCACATGCGGCTCTTCTGTGTGCCGGGCGCCCGCTCCCCTCCCTCCTCAAAAATCCGGCCCGCGGAGCGTGGAACATTGGCTGTCAGGATGTAGGTGGGGCAGCCAGGATGTAGGCGGGGCAGAGTGACGAACTCCTCTCTCAGTCCGCCCTGAAGACCAGAACGGCGCGGGAACACAGCGAGAGGAACGCGCGGAGCAAAGGTAAGTGAATTGAGACAATATGGGGGATGAATTACTATGTGGGGGATGAATTACTGTGTGGGGGATGAATTACTATGTGGGGGATGAATTACTATGTGGGGGATGAATTACTATGGGGGATGAATTACTATGGGGAATGAATTACTATGTGGGGGATGAATTACTATGGGGGAAGAATTACTATATGGGGGATGAATTACTATGGGGGATGAATTACTATATGGGGGATGAATTACTATGGGGGAAGAATTACTATATGGGGGATGAATTACTATATGGGGGATGAATTACTATGGGGGATGAATTACTATGGGGGATGAATTACTATGTGGGGGATGAATTACTATGGGGGATGAATTACTATATGGGGGATGAATTACTATATGGGGGATGAATTACTATGGGGGATGAATTACTATATGGGGGATGAATTACTATGGGGGAAGAATTACTATATGGGGGATGGATTACTATATGGGGGATGAATTACTATGGGGGAAGAATTACTATATGGGGGATGAATTACTATGGGGGATGAATTACTGTGTGGGGGATGAATTACTATATGGGGGATGAATTACTATATGGGGGATGAATTACTATGGGGGATGAATTACTATATGGGGGATGAATTACTATGGGGGATGAATTACTAAATGGGGGATGTATTTTCAGTTTTAAAAATGTGGCTCTCAAAATAAATTTCAATCGTGGTTTTGGCGAGATTTGGCTCAGTTGAAAAAAAAGGTTGCCCACCACTGACCTAAGGCTATGATTGTGATTATGAAGATACACTGTGGTCCTGATTAACCCTTTGCTTACTGGGCCCTTAAACCCCCTTCATGACCAGAGTGCTTTTTGCAATATATGCAGTGTCGGATTTGTTATAAATGTTGCAATGGTTTTGCGGCTCCCAGTCTTTTTTTTCCCTTCGGAAACGGGTCCAAGTGGCTCTTTATGTCTTAAAGGTTGCAGACCCCTGTCCTAGAGGGTGATGAAGTGTTGAGTGAAATGGTTGATGAGGCCCCTAAAATTATAATTTTGGAAAAATAGATCTATTAAACATATGGTTGTCAGATGTCATTACAAGACAGGTAGATACACATTTAGGCCAGCCAGGAGTAGCTCCCTTTCATTTGTTGTTTGGTCTCAGTGAAGGTGGAAGCAGTTTGGATAGACATGCTGGCAGTCTCTGATGAGTGTGGATTTCTCCATGGTTTGTGTAGCTTTTTAATTATGCTTGGTATACAGCTTTGGACTATGTGTACTCTCCATTCTATTTTTGCATGAGCTTAGCCAGACTAATTTTTTCTCTCCTTCTTCTTCTTTTGTCTGTTTACTGTTTCAGGTCAGTGAGGCCTGGTGGCCAGTACTTTTGTGATTAGCTAGCATATGTATTTTTTTCAGACTTCTAAAGACATTAGGTGAGGATGCTTTGGAGGAGGAAAGACATAAACATGTATAATGAAGACTGGCACAACTTATATGGTTTGTGCTTTTCTGTGTTTTACAGGAGTACACATTATTATTTTTCCAATCATCATTAGGAACATCCTGAGGAGAATTATGAACAGTTCCAAATACCAGTCAATATTGGCACAAAACCTTCACGCTTCTGCTAGAAAGTTGAACATGAAGAGGAATTTCATCTTTCAGCATGACAACCACTCAAAGCATACATCCAAATCAATAAGAGAATGGCTTCACCAGAAGAAGATTAAAGTTTTGGAATGGCCCAGACAGAGCCCAGACCTAAATATGACTGAAAATCTGTGGGGTGAGCTGAAGAGGGCTGTGCACAGGAGATGCCCTCACAATATGACAGATTTGGAGTGTTTTTGCAAGGAAGAGTGGGCAAATATTGCCAAGTCAAGACGTGCCATGCTGATAGACTCATACCCAAAAAACTGAGTGCTGTAATAAAATCAAAAGGTGCTTCAACAAAGTATTAGTTTAAGGGCGTGCACACTTATGCAACCATATTATTTTAGTTTTTTATTTTTACTTCCCTCCATCTAAAAGATTTCAGTTTGTTGTTCAACTGCGTTGTGCAGTTTATAGGTTACATTAAAGGTGGAAAAAGTTCTGAAATTATTTAATTTTGTCTCATTTTTTACATCACAGAAATCTGACATTTTAACAGGGGTGTGTAGACTTTTTATATCCATTGTATATTAAATTCCAAACACATCATCCGTCTTATAGATACAAACTATTTATTTACATTATCAAATTTTTAAAAAGATTGTGCATTTTATCTCAAAGAATTATAGGGCTGTTCACATATATAAACTGAGACTAATTTTTCCATTATTAGTGGGTTTGCATAGACTTGTGTAATACCATGGGGTTTATTTACTAAAGCTGGTTCACTCAGAATCTTGTGCACTTCTGCATAGAAACTAAGCTTCCAAGTTTTATTGCTAACGCCTAATTGAACAAGCTGAGGTTAGAAGCTGATTGGCTGCACCAGATTCTGAGTGAATCAACTTAAATAAACCCCCATGTGTGTTATGTTCAGTATTGGTGTACATTACTTTGTAAGCTTCTCTTGAAACAGTATTTCTAAATAGATATCTCGCTAACTTTCCTAAAAACAGGTTTCCCCACTTGCAAGAGTAGATGATATTGAACAGATGGAGAACCTGTCTGCTGTGTTCCAGGATAAATCAGAGGAACTTAAAACCAGGTGGTTCTATTGGGACCTTTTTGCTTCTTTGACAAATTCCTCCAACGCGCATAGCGTTTACCGCGTGCCTTTAATATGCACTACTTGATCAGTCCTGAAGCTCTTTGCTCCCCAGAAGAGATTTCCCTTTCCTCCCAACTTCCCCTCCCCCTCCTCCCCTCCCTTGCTTCCTACCCCAACCCCCCCT